GCAGCCGACCATGTGCAGCCGCCCTGCTGCATTGGGCACCCTCCCCGGTCTTTGTGCCCGCAAGGAGGAGCGGGCGGCTCTGCCCTTGGCCTCCCCGCTGGGCTGCGGGCTCGAGGGGGCCATCCCACCGGGGAACATGGTGTCCCCCCTACCCCTCCGAATAGCCCATTCCCCATATAATGCTAATGGTGTGGGAACGACCGGAGGTTTGGGGCCGGGAAGAGAAGGTCGGGTTTGCCACACAGCTGCCGTGCTGCAAAATGAGCTCTTACTATTGCCTGGAAAAGGTGGTTCCTTGTTGTTTAGCCCCGAGAGCCCTGTGCTGCGCTGGGGCACACTGGGAACAGGATTTCCAGGGTGCTGCTGCAATGTCAGGGGCAAATCGTCGCTGCGTGCTGGGGTGGGCTCCCTGGAAGGAAGCTGGCTCAGGGGTTGCCTCCCCGTCTCCCCGCGGCAGGGTGGTCCCGGGGCCCAGCCCAGCCTTTGTCTGCGCTCCCGGCTGCGCGGGAGTGGGGCTGGGAGCGAGCACAAAGCCACGGCAGCTCCCGGTGCAAGGCGCGATCCCAAAGCAAAAACAGGATTTAGCTGAGGCCCCCCCGTCCCCTCCCCAGGCAGATGCTGATAAAACGCAAAACCGCAAGTACAAAAGAGCTGCCCGGCCACACGCTGCTGCTCTTGTCGGCCCTGGGGATGAGCCCCTTGCTCTCCCCACGAGCGCACCCATCCTCCCCAGGCAAGGGGATGCCCTGGGAACTGGAGGTGATTCTTCCCCCGGAACCTGGCCGAGCGATTATTGTTTTACCTTTTGTGAGCTGAAGGACTGGGTCCAGTGGTACAAAACCAGTCTGTCCTGGGATTTGAGAGCTGGGTCTGTCGGGTCCTGAATTTCCTCCCCCTCCGTGGATTTCCCTGCGTCGTTCTCCAGCGCCGAGATGGGCCACCAGCTGCAGTTGGTGGGAGTAACGTTATTGGGAGTCGCCATGACAGCCTGCGAGCGAGCGGGGAGAGGACGAGGGAGCGAGCGGCGCTAGCCCACACTCACATGGGCTCCTGCC